AGAGAGCAAGATAGCACAAAAGCATGCATACCTGAGCACAAATGTGGGAGTCAGTTTTCTTCTACCATGAGGTCTAGTGATAGAGCCTTCAGGTTTATGTGCCATGCACTTTTACCCACTGAGCCACCTCACAGGCGCTCAAAACATATTTCTGCTGAGGGACATATGAAGGAAGGTAGCAAACCAAAATGGGAAATTACAAAACTAAAAGTGTAAAGAGAATTGCATGCATGAGGTTTAAGCTGCTCAACAAGGAAAATGAAAAGCAAGGTGACAAAGAAAGTACCATGAGTCAGCAGTACTCTATGTCCATGCAAACCCACTATTCAAATGTATGAAGACTGTATCCTATCACTTACCTCTGTGCAAAGAGGGCCAAGCAAACTTCAAAACAAAAAGTAACGTTCATTACAACAGAAAGTAGAGAGTTCTTTGGCTCAAGTGAGTGGTTAAAGAAAGCTGTTCACTCTAACTATATAAAGAAGGCAACTTATTAGGATTGTCCTTAAATGAAGGACTGGAAGTCTAAGACAGAGCATCAGGCTCTGAAGAGTTGGTTTTCAGGGTCAACAGTACACTTTATGGCATATTGGCCTAAGAGATGCTACTACTTAAACAACTCAGCTTCTCATAAAGGAGAAATCCCTTCAATCAAGTCTGGTAATCTTACAAAAGTACAACTAACACTGCAGATAACAGTGGCCGAAAAAACCTGCAACCAAACCAGATGGGTTTCAGAGTTCAGATTTTGGAATTTTGCAGACACATGATATCCTGGTGTTGGATACAAATCTAATGACAAAATTTGTTTGTTTTAACATACATATAGCCTGGAGGTAATTAAAAACAGTGTTTTCAATGTACATACAATTTCACTATTACCTGGAACATAAAGTGTTGAACTGTCTATGTGTGGTATTATACACCTGTTTAAAAAAAGTTTCAGACTTTAGGTAATTTTAGATTGTGAATGGTCACTATGTATTCTCCTATTACAGCCTGGAAGGATGGAACATAAAAAAGATATGGAATAAATTTACCTCCATATAACAAAGTAAGAGGTATAGAATGAGCAGTAAGATAGTAATTAAACTTCACTTCATAGTATGCTTCTATAATCAAAATCAGTGTTGATGGGCCTTTTGACTTATAACATGGCTAGGTGCCAAAGAATAACACTAAGAACACAGTAAGTGAAATCATATACTAGCAGTAACTACTGATGTGTATATATGTATGTGAGTATATACTACATATACACAGCATTCTTAAAAGAAAAAGCACTGCAAAGAAAGAAAACAACAAAAATAATCCTAAATTACTCAACTGCCAACAGAAATCACAGTTCCACTTGTGGTTAGAGAAACACATCACATTTAAAACCCCGTTCACACATGATGGAGTAAAAGAGAAGCTATCATTCAAGAAAACACAGAAGTTCACCCCTTATACTTGGTGGTATGTACCAAAAGCCCTTAGTGGGTATACTTGAAACTGCAGACACTATCAAACCCTTTATATTCTATGAGTTTTTCCTTATATATACTCATTGGTAAAGTTTAATTTATAAGTTAGAGTAACAATGAGTAATAAGCAGCAAAATTATAGCAATAATAAGAGTTGTTAATATTGCCACTTATAACTTCACTGTACTCTCCTGACCCTTATGCGAAGGCGCAAGGTAATACAATGCCTAAGTGATCAAATGAAGTGAGGGGTAAATGACATAAGCAACCTGATCTACAATGGAAAGATAAAGATACTTGAATGCTGCACTCTGATAGCACACAAGTAAGCCTCATGTCCTGACATGGGTCTTAAGTGACTATCAAGCATAGTGTAGTCAGTTAGGAACAGAGTGCAGTTTCATTATTCTACTCAGAATGGGGGGTGTGCCAATTAAAAGATAACCTCTTTATTCTGAAGCCTTTTCCCATTCATTGTTTTCAGACTGAGATGGGCTGTAGTGGAAAATAAATCACAGGTCTAGGGAAACCCATTGCCTAGACTATGACTTGGGCTTCTAAAAGGAAGTCTATTTATTTCTCATTATATGGACCAGAGTAAACAACTTATTTGCCCACATGTAAAAATGGAACTAATACCATCTATTCCAAAAAGAGAAGTGTTCAATCTTGTTTTTATTATTGAAGTACAAAGAAAACAGTATTACCTCCTCCCTCTAACCTTTAGCTAGCTGTAGTGTAAAGGCTCCAACTTATAGAATGAATGAGTCTATTTCTAACCCTGATACTTCAGGATCTCTTGATCCCTAATCCATTCTTTTCATTTGCCAACCAGCACAGCACTTTACAGTAAGAACACAAAAAACACAACAAGCAGACAACTAGAATCCCCATGTCTCACCACTTAAAAGATAACTGAATTCCTCAATCACCATCTTGTGAAGAGTCCACCCTATCACACCGCTTCCCTATTTGATTCCATTCCTGTCTGGCAGAAGTGAAACCTACAGCAATTCACATGCACTGGGATTTTGGAGGTTATAATGTGTCCCAATGCATCTCTTTTCTTACTTCACTCAGAATATCCAAATGAGGCACTAGATTTTTAAAAAGAATCTATTTGTATGTTTTCCATACATACAAAAGTAATATCAATGGAATTAAAGCAGATTAAAGGCTTTACAGATTTTTTCTTAACAACAACAAAAAACTACTGTTAAAAATTACAGTAATGTTATTTAGTAAGCACTAAAAAATGAACTTTTAATATTAAATGTCTTGTTAATTTTAAAAACTGCTTGTTTTGTTCGGTATAGTTGCTTATTCCTTGAATGTGCTCACTCTTTTAGAAAAGTGGCTGAACTATGAAGTTTTTTTAACCTCTGCACTGCAAAGATGTAATCAAAGAGATACAGGACATAAGTTAACATGAACTGAAGTCCTAAGTTCTTAAGAAAGTCATCATTTATTTATATTATCAAGGAATAAATGAATAGTAAGATGATATACACAAAAACTAAGAAAAATATCCACCCAAATTCTCTAGGATACTGTTGATTAGTGATATCTATACATGTATTCATTTACATAAATCATCTCACTAAACAGTTCTATAAAAAGTAATTCCCAAGTCATCTTATAATAGTTTTCAATTGCTCAAATGGCTTCCAATGAAAACTATCATTTATGATTAATCACACATACACCACTAAGAAGCTATCTAAGTGTTTTTCAATTTTAACACATTATGGTTTCATATCATCGAAGGTTGACAAAACAGTAATTATTCTAAATGTTGTAAAATCAATGATCTTATTCTACTGAATTAGTTGACAGAGCTGATGTGAGTCCAAAATGTCAGCATCAAACTTTACAAATGTAGATAACATTAAAACATAAAACAGTAAGGATATGAAAGAACAGAGAAGTAACCTTACTAGAATATATGTCTATTAACAGAACTTTATTTAGCATTAAAGGCAGCCTTTATTAATACAAGATACCAATTTGTTTACATAACAAAATAAGATGAAATAGGACACATCCTTGTAAAGGACCAAACTTTAAGTGATGGGATGCAGCTCGGTGAGAGCTCTTAGCATAAATAATATCCTGCATTCAATTCCCAGCACCACAAAGAAGAAAACTTTGGAACACATTATTCTAATGTTAACAACTTTATTTTATATATCTTAAGGTTTTATATGTTTAGTTCTAAGTCACCTACTTATAACTAGTGATAAATTTGCACAACTGTTATTTTACTTTGTTTTGTCTCTATGAAATACAAAACAACAACATTAAGCCTATGTAACAAAATTTCAGTCATAGATGGCAGATCTGTATATGGGCTTCTCAATTTTATCAAAAAAATTTCATCACTATTTATTTAAAATACATTTAAACAGCTTGTTTACCATCATCAGTACATATATAAATGTGCAGTATTAAAAACTTAAGTCAGAATATTTTTCTATAATTATCACACAGAGAAAAGTATAAAACATAGCAAAAACAAATAAAACAGAAAGTAGATAAAGGAAACTTAAATTTTTAAAAGAGAATAGTCTTCTAAATTAAAGACTTATTTGTCTTGCTGCAAAAGAAAGTATTAGTAAGAGTCATCCATTGTGTTTAAATTTCATAAGTCCTAAACAAAAGAACATGGTCAACATTTGGTCATCTATTGAAGTAATTATGTACCAAATTTATCACTGACCTTTCATTAACCATACAAGAAATACACATGACTTATATTTTTAGGTATAAATTTTTCTGTAACTAGGCCATCTAATTTCTTTTCTTCTGATTTTATTATATTATACAAATTTTAACATGACAACCTAGGTCTTTTTTGGAAGCAGTGGAAATAAATATTATCAAGTTTACAGTACAATATAGATAAATGCATATAATTCCACTCCATATTTACTGAATTAAGGAGAATAAAATTATTTCCAAAACAAAGAACATCTAGTTCTTTTACTAATTTTTTAAATTAAACCACCAAAAGCAGGACATTTCTCTAATTTCTAACATTTAATAAAACACTTAGATTTCTAAGTGTTCCCTTTCTTGCTAATCAGCTTTTAAAGGTAAATAGAAAAGAAACTTCCTATTCTCAGTGGCCAGAGAATAGATGGAAGAGAGAATGGGAATACGAATTGAATTCTTATCCCTTGCCCTGTTGTCTTCGTGCAATACAAATAAACTACCATGTCAAGAGAAAGTAAGATTTCTCACATTAGATCATAAACAAAATATCACCACAATTCTTTGCTGTGATTCTAGAAACAAATTTGAATTAGTACTTAGAGGACGCTACTCGGCCGTGTAAGCTGAATGGCGACATGCATCGTCCAGGTGAAGTGGTATATGCTTACAATTCTAGTACTTGAGAGGCAGAAAGAGAAAGATGAGGAACTGAAGGTACCTTAATTACATGGTAAATTCTAGGCCAACCTGGGTTACATGAAGCCTCATCTCAAAACAACCAAAAAAGTTCCCATTACAATCAGCCTATCCCTTACTTACCTGCCATTACAGAGTAGCCAACGAGCAAGAGAATAGTGAGGTATAATCTTCTGCATGACACTGGCCATCACCATGGTAACAACCAGCTGTATACCTATCACACCCTGTGTGAAAAAGGAAACAAATAAATTTAACAATAAATTAACTAATGTGTAGGGATAATGCTAGAAAACTCTCTATACATTTTGAAAATTATATTTTAAGAAAACTGACTTTAACAATAAAATATCTCATTCTTGTGGCATTTAGGTATTCAAGTCCACACACTTAATTTAAACTTAAAGCACAATATGTGATGCCACTCACATAGTCATCTACTCAAATTACCAAAGTATGTATGTATGAAAATACATATGTATGAAAATACAAGTAAAAACTTATTCCCAATAAATACTCTATAAATTAAGGGTATCTGATCAATTTTGGTAAAAATTCTCTGAGATGCTGAGAGTACATTCTTTTATGGTTGCATGAAATGTTCTGTAACTATGTCAGGTTCATTTGGTTTTCAACGCCTGTTAGCTCTAGCATTTCTCTGTTAGTGTTAGTTTGGATGATCTGTCTAACTGTTGAGAATGAGGTAGTGAAATCTTCCACTCTGTGGGAATCAGTGTGTGAGGGTTAATATGTGATTTAAGCTGTAGTAGGGTTTCTTTTATTAACCTGGGTGCCCTTGTGTTTGGTGCACATGTTACAAATTTAAATGTCATCTTGATGGATTTTTCCTTGATGAATATATAGTGTCCTGCTCTGTACCTTCTGATTAGGTTTTGTTTGAAGTCTATTTTGTCAAATAGTAAAATAGCTATACCAGCTTACTTCTTAGATTCATTTACTTGAAACATCTTTTTCTATCCTTTTACCCTGAGGTGATTATCCTTGATGTTAAGGTGTGTTTCTTGGATGCAGCAGAAGGATGAGTTCTGTTTTTGCTTTCATTCTGTTAGTCTGTGTCTTTTTATTAAAAAATCAAGACCACTGGCGTTGAGAGATATTAATGAGCAGTATCTGTTGATCCCTGTTAATTTGTATGTGGGGTGCATGTGTGGGCACGGTACACATGCGTACTTCTTCTCTTTTGATTTGTTGGTCTGAGATTATTATTTCTTGTGTTTTGTTGGGTTTAACCTCTTCAGGTTGGGATTTTCCTTCTAGTACTTTCTGTTGGGTTTAGTGCATAGATAGTGCTTAAATTTGGTTTTATTGTGTAAATACTGAAAACAAATTGCCAAGACTATAGGTTGACCTCTACAAGCTGATGGCAAGGCCCTATTACTGAAGATAACACATACAAAACTCACTGAACATGAAGAAGTCAAGCTGGGGTGCCTATATAAAGTTTTCTACATGCTAGCTAGCATCGTTGGTAAAAGAAACTATTCATGCTACAAGGGAAATTGAAAACACCAACCCAGCCACAAACCTTTTGATCTACAAAGGTATCCTGCCTACATATGTTAGTGCTGTGGGGTCAATCAACCAAAATCAGATTTGACTTAAGGCCTACTCCATGAGATGGAAACCTTACCCAGCACTGCTTGGGTGACCAAGAATCTGAGACTAGATAACCCAGTGACCTAGGGGAAAATCAAATGCTACTGTTCTAGGTAAAAAACATATCATTAAAATGACTAATGATGTCGTGTTATATATGCATCAGTGACTTGTTCAACCATCATCAAAGAAGCTTTTTCCTACAGCAGATGAAAACAAATACAGAGACCCACAGCCAGACAATATGTAGAGACCTTGGGACAATCAACCCTAAACAGTATATCTCCATGAAGTCTCTCCTCTCAGGGCTCAGGAAACCCTACAGAAGAGGTAGGCACAAAGAGTGCAAGAGCCAGGGGGGATGGAGGACACCATGGAAAGAAGTCCCTGTACATCAACAGGATCAAAGCGCATATGAACTCACAGAGAATGACACAGCGTGTAGTGAGCCTGCACAGGTCGGCATCAGACAGGGTCCTAGAGATGAGACTGGACATATGCCCTATCCTTTACCCAAAAGCAATCTTAAAGTGACGTCCACTTGCAAATAAAATTTTAGGTTTCTCTAAGGAACTCTCAAGGGGGAAACAAACTACTCTTAAGGGTAGGCTGTATGCCTAGCAGTAGATAGCCAGCACAAAATGAACTCAACGGCATCTTTGGAGGTTCCCTGTCTCATAATATTATGTCAGGGCTTCACATACATATAGGATAATAACAAAGTAAAAATAAGATAAAAACTAACATACCGGAATAGGAAAGTTGAGTCTCTGTATTTGTTTCTTGTGACTTTTCTTGGGCTCTTGTTCTTCTATTTGTTTTTTCCTATTCTAGTGTGTTAGTTTTTGTTTTATCTTATTTTATTTTATTTCATTTTATATTATTATTACCACTTAGGAGCCTGTTTGTTTTCCAATTTGAGACAGAAAAGGAGTGGATCCAGACAGGTTGGGAGCTAAGGAGGAACTGGGAGGACTAGAGGGAGGGGAAACTGTAATCAGGATACATTATGTAAAACAAAACAAACAAACAAAAAACAAAAAAACCTCCATTTTTAAGAAAAGGAAAAACAATAAATTAAGGACATCAAAATGGTGAAAGCATGGCTTTCTTCATCTTTTTCTAATTCACTTAACAATGAAAACACCAAACTTTAAAACCAGCAGGCTGGGAAGGGTGGCACATACTTTTAATCTCATTACTCAGGAGTCAGAGGCAAGAGGCTACATGCACAGTGAGACCCTATCTCAAAAAACAGAAGAATAGCAATTACAAAGCCAAGCACGGTAGGAAACTGAGCTGAAGGAAACTAAGGTAGGGACATTGGAAGCCAAACTGGACTATTCTATCTCTAAAAAGAAAGAGAAAGAACCAAACCCAAAACCAAACAGCTCTTTTAGTTCAAGATGGACTGATCAAACTGAATGGTTGAAGAGCATTAGCTATATGAAGTGCAATGGCAGAACTTTGAGTTTCTCTCTTCAAGCCCTCAATCTAACAGCTGTGTGACTTAGGCACACCATTTAAACACTCTGTACCTAGGTTTCCTTGTCCATAAACAGACAGTAATTCCACTTACTTCACTGACCTGTTCATGACTATTTGTAGTGATCGCCACCATTAGAAGACAACTTCTCAAGTAAGGAGTTGAGAGGTGGTTCTTGAACAGGACTATTTTTTAAATGTCTACTTCAACTCTATTTCTATATTTCAATGTCTTAAATTGTGGCAACTGGATTATAGATAGAGCATCTTTTATTTCACTTCACATCCAAGGTTACATTATTTTACTTCACATTCTCCACTCTTTTTCCTATAGGTTGTAACAGTTCTATCTCTACACTGAATATAACAGAACACTCTTTAACAGTATGCCAGAAGGTTGCTTTATTTGAAATTATAGATTTAAAAGGCAATTTACTTAGTAAAGTGTTGCAAACAAAGTGAGCCTCGTTCAACCTGGCCTTGAAAATAGTGTCAGTGGCGGAGCATCTTCAAGGTTAGCCATACAGCATCACACAGACACAAAGACAATTTAACAGTTCAGTCATTCTTGTCGTCAACTGTAAAACCATATTTTACAACTGTAAAACCGCATTTAATAAGTAACCACCATAAAAACTTAATTCAGCAAGATTGATCTAGAAGATGTATATGATAGAATGTGATAAACTGGGGAAGGATATTGTTCCCCTTCCTTTACACTACAACTATAGTGAGATACTGCTAAAAGCTTTACTGTTAAAAGATGTAGATCATGTAAGTAAGGCACAAATAATCCAACAAAAATCATAGAAACTGATGTAATGATCAAGACTTGGAGATAATGATGCTGTACCTTTGGTACCCAGAGAAGAAAAGCACCCTAGAGATGATGTTGAAAAATTCAGAGACTGTTCAAATATGGAGTCAAGAAAGAATAAAGAACTCACCTTGAGAAAGGCAAATGCTATAGGAAAGCTGGTATATTCTCAGTATTCTGGTTCATGTACAACTAAAACCTGAGCAAGGCAAAAGCATAACTTTAATATGTTCAATTTATTATGTCACTCTCCACTTCTGAAATGAAGCTGAAAATAGCTTTCCAAAACCTCATCTACCTGCTGTGCTAAACATATTATTCCGTAACAGGAATCTTTCAGCTTTCTAAGAGAAATCATCAAGTCTTTCCTAGAATGTGTCACTGTTAGATGACTATACACATCCCACTAAACGGTAACATAACTTTTACCCTAAAGCAGGAATCTACATAAAGAGGTCATTTTAAAATTATGTGGAAAATATTTGACCATAGTTACTCCTTTTCATACACATACAGGAAAAGTACCTGGAGTATACTGTCAAAATTGTAATTTTTGGAGAGCCGTTTCACTAATTTACTATTTTACTAGTACTAAGACATTAGCAATTGTGATATTCTTCTCAGTTTTGAACATCTTAAAGTCTCTTAAATGTCCTGAATATTTTTCATGATTTCTTTAACAAAGAATACTTAAATAAATTTAACAACATAAAACTTGTAGACTGATACTTTGAAGCTACAAAGACCATCACAGTCAAATCTCAAACATGCCACCATGAAGCCTTAATGTTTTTTTATTAGTGCTTCAAATTAATAACTTAGCCAAACAGTTTCTATCTGATTCACTGACTTTAGGTTTAGATTCCCTTGACAATTGGAACTGGGGAAATTAATTTATAAAATAGTTTAGGGACCCAAGACTTAAAGCCTATAGTGCCTTGGCGTGAACCTTCCAAGTCTACTAACCTGAGGTCATGAACAGCAAGAAAAAGTTACATTTTCAGTATTTAGAAGAATAATCATTTCAATTTTTGTCATTAATAATAGGTTTAAAAAATCCTACCAATGAAAATTAAGTAATTCTCAAATAAATAAAATATATACCAAATACCAGTAGTTTCTTTTGCTTGTCAACACTGGAAACAAAACTTCAATAGTGAAATACAACCATGTTGTAATTTTAAATTTTAAGCTTTGAAAATTATGTCACTCTCAGTGGAGTTGACACTTTGTTATGTTTCATTAAACTAGCTCTCCCGCTGACAAACAAATTGAAAGGAAACACACATTGTTTACTATTAGAGGACA